TAATAATCTTCTCCAGCACCCTAACTCAAATGCATCAATTCTTCTACGGTCCTCCTTTTCATTGTCCAACTTCCACATACATTTGAGATTATTGAAAACAACAGAGCTTGTATCACATCTTTGCTCTTGACTACTCTGAAGAGGACTTGTGCAACAGATTTACCTATTGAAATATGTCATTTGATTTCTTGGCTGCTGATTCTATGTGTGTTGACAGTGAATCCAAGAAAAAAATGAAGTCTTGGATAACTTCAATCTTTTCTGCATTTATTATGGTATTATTTATTGGTCCATTTGTAAGGATTTTTTGTTTTTGTTTTTGTTTTACATTTAGTGCAACCCATACAGAAGGCTGTGGTCTTTGATTTTCATCAGTAAGTATTTTAAAGTATTTTAAGTCCTCTTTGCCAGCAGCAAGTATGGTTGAGTCATCTGCATACAAGTTGTTAATGAGTCTTCCTCCAATCCTGATGCCATGTTTTTCTTCATATAATTCAAATTCTTAAATTATTTGCTCATCATACAAATTGAATAAGAATGGTGAAAGAATACAACCCTGGCATACACCTTTTCTAGTTTTAAACCATTCAGTGTCCCCTTGTTCTGTTCGAATGACTGACTCTTGGTCTATTTACAGGTTCCTCATGAGCATGATTAATTGATCCAGAATACTCATTCTCTGCAGTGTTGTCCATAGCTAGTCATGATCCACACAGTTGAAAACTTTGCTTAGTCAATAAAGCAAAGATAAACATATTCTTGATATTCTCTGCTTTGAGCCAAAATGCATCTAATATCAACAATGATATCCCAAGTTCCACATTAAAGTCTGAATCTGCCTTGAACCTCTGGCAGTTCTCTGTCAATGTACTATTGTAGATGTTTTTGAATTATCTTTAGTAATATTTTACTTGCATATGCTATTAGTGATATTGTCTTATGATTTTTACATTCTGTTGCACTGTCTCTTTTTGAATGAGCACAAATATGGAACTTTTAGAATCAAATGGCCAGGTAGCTATCTTCCAAATTTTTTGGCATAGATGAGTGAGGGCCTCCAGGGCTGCATCAGT